GCTTAACGACTGAGCCACCCAGGCGCCCCTCTGGCTGCTGACCTCTTGGCATCGTTCAGCCTCAGGGGCGAGGACCACCTCTACCTCCTATCCTTTTCTGCAGAACTGACCTCCAACCCCAATAAGATAGTGTCAGATCAAGGGGGAGGGCGTTCCCCTGTCCCCAGGGCAAAAGTTGATTAGAAAGAAGCTCCAGAAATCTCCTAGCATCCTCCTTCCCAAACAACCTCTTTTAGGTAAGAAAAAGAGGTGCTCATCTTACTCCTTCTTGTGTATCCACCCCCATCCCTTTGCTGGCCTCTTCTGGATTCTGACACTGAAGGCAGCTGGAGAACCTGGGGGGCAGGGTGGGGGATACACTGCAGCAGGCTGAGGGAATCCTGCAGACTCCTCGTCACTCTGAGGCAGCCTCTCCTCTCCCTCCAGGTGACATCCTGGCCCTGGTTTTTGGCCTCCTCTTTGCAGTCACCAGCATTGCCTTCCTTGTGCAAATGAGAAGGCAGCAAAGGTATACCTACCCACTTCCTGAGCCCCTTCCTCAGGCACAGCCCCACCTCCGTGGATGGGTCCGGAACAGTTTCATGAACACTGCATGCAAACGAGCTCATCTGGAGGGGGAGTTTTCTGATTGGGCTTTTGTGTTGTGTAGACTCCGAAGTGGGACCAAAGGGAACGTTAGCTACCACCCAGCAGAGGTCACGGAGACTGTTGCCTAGAGGCCTTGGAACTGGGAGAATGTGCAGAGAAGCCAGCCAGAAGAATCTGAGGGCGAGCGGGAGATTTTGTCCTGTCCTACCCTTTATACCACTTCCTTTTTTAGGTCCAAATATTTTTTTAAATAAATGTTTCTAATAAAATATGTGGAAGGCAGCTTTGTTCCCCAAATCAGGAGGATGGTGTATTTATTTCCTATTGCTGCCTTTAACAAATCACCACAAACTTAATGGTAATGCAAATTTATCCTCTTAGGGTTCTGGAGGTCACAAGTCCAAAATGAGTCTTCTGGGCTGAAGTCAAGGTGTCAGTAAGGGCTGGTTCCTTCTGAACACTTTGAGGGGAGGGGGTTTCCTTTTTCAGGTTCTAGAAGCCAAGGATTCCTTGGCTTGTGGCCCCTTCCTCATATCTCTCCAGCCTCTCGCTTCCATTGTTGTATCTCTTATAACTGCCTTTTGACCTTGCCTCCCTCTTATAAGAGCCTTTGTGATTACATTGGGCCTACCTGGATAATTTAGGATAATCTCCCAATTTCAAAATCCTTAGCTTAATCACGAAGTTCCTTTTCCCACGTAGGGTAACATTTCACAGGATTAAGGTGTGGACAATTTGGTGGGGGGCATTACTGCCTAGCACAGATGTTTTCGGGAAGGGGCGGAAGTGACTGAGATAGTTAGAATGACCGTGGGCACACCCACAGCAGCGTATGTGTCTGGGGGTAGAGCAGGCTTAGCCTCTAGGCTTAAAATCATAGTGAGGCTTTTGGGCTTTCATCCTGCTCAAGTAAAATCTGTGTAGCTTTGCAGTTTTGCCTTCAGACTGGCGGCCTGCTGGAATGGGGCAGTGCCGAGGACAGCAGCTCCTTTGCCCTGCGGGTAGAAAGGGTCCAGATGTCCCCCCAGCCCAGCGGGGCCTCTCTGCTTCACGCAGCCTGGTCACAACCCTCCTCAGTGAACCCACCGCCCGCACCTCTTGGCTCCCTTAGCAAAGGAAGTCCTACTGTGGAGCGTGGTCACGCAGGGGCCCTTTCAGCCCCACTGCTCCCCTCGGGCATCTTCTTAGCCTTTCTACTTTGGAAAACCACCACCACCGTCACCAACACCAAAGAAAGGCTGAAAGGGCCCTGTGATGCCAGTAACATCCACTTTATTGCGTTGGGGCGGCGACGGCAGCCTGGCTGGGGGCAGAGCCACCCTCACAGGTTGTTGAGTTCCAGCAGGGTCTGGTCGAGAGTCTGGTGAATCTCCACGTTCTCCTCCTTGGCACTGGCCAAGGTCTCTGCGAGGGGAAGCAGCGAGTGAGGAGGGGCAGGGAGACATGAGGGGAGATGGGGGCTGAGGCAGACTTGGAATGGGATGGAGGCACAGGAAGACATAAGCATGAAGGAATCTGAGGATCCCGTGCCAGGGGCAAATGGACGGACTGACCAAGACAGACACAGAAGCCTCACTCAAGGCTTCGGGGTGATGGGGGTTGGATGGGAGGGCCTGAGTCAAAAACTACTTTACCTCCTTCCTTACAGGGTTTACGAGAGTTGGAAAGGGAAGGAAAGACAAAAGACTGAGCCAGAAAGGGGAGGGCCAGACAGACAGACAGACCTGAGGCAGAAAACAGACCTGCAGGGAAAGCCCCATGTTGTTGGCATCCAGCGTTTTCCCAAACGTCACCCCAGACCTTTCACCACCTTCTTGCCATTCCTCGGCACCTCCCCACCCGTCTCCCCTCCAGTCCTTCCTTTATCCTGGAACCGCAGCGGAGTGCTCTGAGGTCAGTGACAGGCCCAGGTCCACATAAGAGCGCGTCTCTCAGAGGCAGCAGAGGGCTCGCGGTGACGGATGGGGTGATAGGTGCCCACGTGAAGCAGTGAGACACTGACAGACTGAGAGTGCTATGTGGAGGGGGGTTCTGTGTGGGCCACGGTGTTCTGTGGGTGAGCTCAGGGCGGGGGGTCACAAGATTGGTGGTGTAAGAGCCAGGATCTCTGTGGGGGTGATGGAAGTGCTCTCTGGAGGGCAGGAAAACAGCATGGAGACCAAGTTGAGTTTATTAAGCAGCAGAAAGAGGTAGAGGCTGGAGGGTGGAGTGGTGGATAGAAGGATGAAGCAAGTGCCAAGGTGGGCGGGAGGTGCGCCGGGGGCTCTCCAAGGCCGCGCCCAGCCTGGCTGTTTGATGCTGACCGTTTTGCTCCTCCTACCTGCCCCCTCCCCACAGAGAGAGAATGGAAAGAGGAGAGAGAAGGGGCTGAGGGGGCCACACTGGTGTGGGACTCAGAGGGAGGTGATGTCATTGAGTGCGTTGTCCAGTTCCTCACTGATGGCCTTGTACTTCATCTTCTGTGCATAGACTTCGTCTGGGGGTGGGGGGAGTCCAGGGGAAGGGGGCCGGATGGGAGTGTGGGGAGAGGGAATGGAGGGAAAGAGGAAAGGAAGGAGAGAGGGTAATGGAAAGAGAAAACAAGAATCAGAGAGAGGTGGACAAAGATGGAGTGAGAGAAATAGGCCAGAGAACAGGCTGGACAGCCATGAGGGCTCCCTCCTCCCCTCTCTGTACCCCTGTCTCTTTTTTCTCTGGAGACTAAATTGGTCCTATCTCCCCCAGGGACATGGGGGCACAGTGCTTTGAATGAGCAGAGTGCTTGCTTCAAGGGGAAGGGCCTGGGGCCAGAAAGGACTACAGTCCTAAAGTTGGAGGTAAAATTGAGGCTTGCTTAAGAAGGCTACAAGCACGAGAAGTAGGAATTACGAAAGTGAAAGGGTTATTGTAGAATAAAAAGAAAATACAGTTTAGGTACGACATTCTTGCTACTAATGAGAAATAGCCACAGGGATGCCTGGGTGGCTCAGATGGTTAAGCATCTGCCTTCGGCTTGGGTCGTGATCCCAGGGTCCTGGGATCGAGCCCCACATTGGGCTCTGTGCTCAGCAGGGAGCCTGCTTCTTCCTCTGCCTGCCTGTCTGCCTACTTGTGATCTCTCTGTCTCTCTGTCAAATAAATAAATAAGATCTTTAAAAAAAAAAAAAAAAGAAATAGCCACAGATTAGTAAATACCTGGATGTTCATTTTCATCAAATCTAGCTTAAAATAGTATTTTCTATTAATGTCATGAATACTTAGATATTAAACCAACTCTATATTTAATAAAAAGATCTTCGTGATATAGCACTATTGTGTTGCACTTGGGGACGAACTGTCTAGGTCAGAGCTAGTCAAAGTGTGGTCTGAGGACCAGCAGCATTGCCATTACCAGGGAGCTTGTTAGACATACAAATTCTCCAGCCCGAAGTCAGCAATCACTTTGGAGTAGGACCTAGGAATCTGTGTTTTAAAAATTCTCGGAGCTGTTCTCATGCACACTCAAGTCTGAGAATCGCTGGAGTGGGCACACTGCACTGAGATGCAACTACCTGAATGGTGGGCATAGACCTGGGAGCTGGTGGAGTCCTAGGTGGTCCAACACTAATTTATCCGGGACAGACGAAATGGGAAAATAAGGGACAGACCGACAGTCATGGGGAGTGGGGACCCACTTAAAAAGGTCCCGGGGTTAGGAGGGTATCCCTTTACCTTCCAGGTCATCAATGGTCTTCTCCAACTTTGCCACAGACCTCTCAGCAAACTCTGCTCGGGTCTCAGCCTGAGAGTAAAGGTAAGATGGGGGAATGACAAAAATTAGGCCCTCCCAGATACTTTCACTTAAGTCAACCTCCTCTTCCAACCCTATTTCCAAAGTCCTTGCCACGGGCAGTCTCTGACGGGGACGGGGGGCTCAACGGGAGAGTAGGGACAGAAAGGACTCTCACCTCTTTTAGCTTCTCCTCCAGCAGTTTGATCTCCTCTTCATATTTATCTTCTTTGGTGGAATACTTTTAGGGACATACACATGCCATCAGGAGATCGCCTCCACAAATCCTTCACTCCACTGAGCCCACAGGCTACTCCTGGTCTTATCTCCAGGGAACACCCAGCCCCTCCCTGCCTGGGCCCATTGCCTCCCTTCCCTGAAGGACCCCATCCTCACTGCCCCTCTAACCCCCTCTACCTTGTCCGCTTGGGCTTCCAGGGATTTCAAGTTGTTGGTAACAATTTTCAGCTCCTCCTCTAGGTCCCCACATTTACTGCAGGGGGTGTGTGGCAGGGGGGGTGTGAGGGCACAGTGTGGGGGACAGTGGAGATGGCACAGTGAGGAAGGGGTGGAGGAGAGAAAAGAGCAAAGTTGTGAGAGTGACAGCAAGCTGAGTTTGGAAGCCCCAGGCCCTTCCCAACCCCCAGCAGGTGAGAGAGCAGCCTGAGACTGGGGGGAAGGTGAGCTGAGAGAAGGCACCGTTGCCCAGAAAGGTCCAGAGAGGTCACTACCTCCTCCTCTGAGGCCATCAGGGACTTGAGGGCCTGGTCCATGGTTCGGAGTTCCTCCTCCAGCTGCCTGGCTCGGCTGGGGGCAGCAGTTAGGGGTCAGAGAACAGGACCTGTCCCTATGGCCCCAAGCCTGGGAAACTGCCTCCCACGGTCCAGAATGCCCCAGAGCCACAGGACCAAGGCCGAGTTTCACTTGCCGCCCCAGGGTCCCCTTACCTCTCAGCCACCTCTGCTCTCTCTTCTGAGCGCTCCAGCTCTCCCTCCAGGATCACCAGCTTCCTGGCCACCTGGGCGGGGGGGGGTAAGGGACAGAAGAAGCACAGCCCTGGTGAGTGGCTGGGGGCATCTGGGGTTTGGGAGGGAGAAGGAAGTGGGGCAGGGCTGTCACCTCCTCGTATTTGCGGTCTGAATCCTCAGCAATGTGCTTGGCCTCCTTCAGCTGCATCTCCTGCAGCTCCATCTTCTCCTCATCCTTCATGGCTCGGTTTTCGATGACCTTCATTCCTCTGAGGGGCAGGGAGCAGGGTGGAAGTGGGGTCAGGACCAGCAGAGACAGGCCCCCGGCCCCTCCCTGGCCCGCCCCCTGGAAGGCCCCCTGCCCACCTCTCACTCTCGTCAGCGGCCTTCTCAGCCTCCTCCAGCTTTTGCAGGGCTGTAGCCAGGCGCTCCTGCGCCCGGTCCAACTCCTCCTCTACCAGCTGAATGCGGCGGTTCAGGGAGGCCACGTCCGCCTCGGCCTGTGCGTCAAAGGCCAGAGATCAGAGGGGCTTTGTCTGCCTTGAATGACGATCAGAGAGGCTCCAGAAGATGGTAAGATTCTTGTCATAAAGAATCTGTTTCCTGGCTTCCAGACTTTCAGTCTGGTTTGGTTTTGTTTTGTTTTCCCCCTAACCAACCATCTTCCATCCAGACTCTGTACTCCAGCCCCAAACATGCATTCCTTAACAAGCTCCACTCTGCTTCAGGGACTCTTCTAGCACCGTGCATACTTTCCCGATGGTTATCTGCAGGCCTTTCTGTACCCAGTGAAAGCGCCCCGCGCTCAGACCAGGTCTGAGGAGCCCTGACCCCTCCCCCCCAGCAAAGCCTGGCCCAGGTGAGCGAGTGAGGAAAATCAGGCCAACCAGACCTCGCCGCTGCTACAAATAGCCAATCAGAAAGTCAGGCTCCGTGATGTCACTGGATGCCGGTCAGACTCCCAGTGAGGGGCTCAGGAGGCTAGCCAGGCCTATAGGCGACATCCATGGCTGTAACAAGGGCTTCCGGCCACAGGGCTAGGGCAGTGGGAGTGACACTTATTCCGCCCCTGATCTGCGGTAGAGGCAAAACCTTGGAGGTTTTGGGGACGGTCCATGGAAAATGATGATACCTTACAAAAATGGGAGGGCAGAGCAAGAAGGGCCTCCAATAAAGGAAAACGAGAGGAGCAGTGCAGTTTAGCGTTAGGAGAATCGGCTCTGAGTCAGACTGTGGTCTGTAAGCTACAGCTCACCCACTCAACACTAGTGTGGCCTTGGGCAACTCATTTAGTCTCTCTAGGCCTCAGATTCCTCCTTTTTAAATTTTACATCTGCGTTGGTTCAAGCAGTTCGTCCTCTGTAGGCTGTTCTAAGGCAATGCAGTGCTTCTCATGATCAACAGGACCACTGGGAGGCTTATAAAACCAAACAGGCTCTCTAGCTCCATGCTAGGGCCACTCAAATGAGATCTCCAGGGCAGGAGCTTGGAAATCTTTTATTTATTTATTTTTTTTAAGCTTCCAAGTGATTCTGATGATAAGCCAAGTTTGGGAAATAGTAAAATAATATGCAGAAAGCACTTGAGCCCATTGACTGCAGTGTCCACACTCCATAAATGTTAGATTATCCCTGTCTCTCAGAGACAAAGGCCGCGAGATTTAAGATTGGAAAGGAGAAAGGGCCAGTGTAGGGGAATAAGTGAAAGAGGGAAGGGATGGGTGGCAGCCCTGAGGGCAGAGCGGGTAGAAAGCACGTCCCGGGTGGTAATCACACAGCAGGGGAAACACAGCACCATATACAGGAAGTCACAGATTGTCCTCCAGGTGCTTGAGGCCACCTAGAGTGACAAAGGCCATCATGGGCAGAGGGCCAGATGACTCAGGATTCTGGGGAAAGCACGGGGATTGGGAAGAATGACCCTGGGGGACCTTAGAGGTCTACTCTAGAGAAAGATAAGACTCTATAAAAGGACAACTCTCTTTGTGATAGTGGGGTGACAAATGACTCTGAAGAGTCTGGGAAGTCCTGGGGTCCTCATCACAGGACTGCTGTTTGCCATTTTCTTTTTTGTTTTTAAAGATTTTATTTATTTATTTGAGAGAGAGAATGAGATTAGATAGAGAGCATGAGAGGGGGGAGGGTCAGAGGGAGAAGCAGACTCCCTGCTGAGCAGGGAGCCCGATGCGGGGCTCAATCTCAGGAC